CCAGGCCTGTTCCTTCAGTTTTGGTTCGAAATTCGTCTCTTCATAGTTGGATCCAGCCGGATGGTTTTCCTTTATAAATTGTTTTTTTTTTTTCTTTTCTTTTCTTTTGATTTGGGTTTTTTTATTTGTTGGTGAGCAGATATCATCCTATTCATTTGATCTAGACTGAGCTCCCCATACCAAGTACATCGTCCCTTGTCCTGCTAGTAAATTATATTGTTTCTTCCACATACTCTTCCAGAAAAGAGATTGCTTAATACTTTCTATTGTTTAGAGGATTCTAAGCTTCTAAAAGCCAAACTTTTCTTCTTTAAAAAAAAAATATTTTATTTATTTGATGGAGAGAGAGCACAAGCAAGTGAAGAGGCAGAGAAAGAAGCTGACTTCCCTGTGAACAGGGAGCCTGATGTAGAGCTCAGTCCTAGGACCTTGAGACCATGACCTGAGCTGAAGGCAAACGCTTAACTGACTGAGCCACCCAGAAACCCCAATCCAAGTTTTCCTCTAAATAGATTTAGTTTCTACACTCCCAAAACATTGTTACCATTTCATGTGGGTAATTTAGATCAGTTTATTTAGCTTTTATTCAACTCCTTTACTCTGACATGGTATTTTCTTTTAAAATTTGAACAATTAGAATCTCTACCAATTCAAAATTCACTAGAATTCTCATCCTAACTCTTCCTAGTCCTGGATATGTTATTCCATATAAGACCTAGGTCTATGTTCTTTGCACAACACCAAATGTCTTCTCTTATTTTGGTCAATCAAGTACACTCTTGGTTGATGACTCACTGAGAGTGTTCTTAAGTAATTGTTCCACAGGAGACAAAAAATTGGAACGATTTGAATGAAGTTCCTTGACCTTTTAGAAATAGTTTTGTTCTTAAAGAAAAAAAAAAAAAGACACCAGGAATTATTCTTAGTTTATCATATTCATATATATGTTCATATATTATATATGAATATATAATACTAGTGTACATTTTATGTATTTTAAGTAGCTAGCAAGTAATTTTTATTAAATAATGTGATAGAAACAATTTATTTTAAAATTTTAAGTCAGAAATCTCGTCTTAAATGATCTCCATTTATTCCTAGGAGCACCTGGATGGTTCGGTCAGTTAAGCATCCAACTAAGCATCTCAGTTCGGGTCTTGATCTATAGGGATGTGAGTTCAAGCCCTGAATTTGGCTCTATGCTGGGTGCGGAACCTACTTTAAAAAAAAATGATCTTCATTTAATCCTAATATCTCTAGGATAATTAACATACATGGAATTAAGAATATTCTCCAGAAAGAAAAAAAGAACATTTTCCAGAGTCCATTAACCACAATATGGATGATGGATAGATATATGACAAATAAAAATTAGATAGTACATACCCTTTCCAAAGATAGAAATGAAATTTAAAATTTTTTACATTGGATTATTCCCATGTACACAAATTCCAAATGTGCACCAATATTTGGGTGCAAGATATGAGAAGATACTATTTTAATTTTATTTACACATAATATATATTATATATAGATGTCTGTAATATTGTTATGCATATAATAAATAAATATATGTATATATGAGCCAGAGCCTTAGAGTTGAACAATTTTGTTAATAATTAAGTTTAAAGAATTTCTCCTCACTTATTTTACAAAGCATGTTTAGAATACAGAATAAGCTTCATAATTTCAGGAAATATTATACATTCTGTCTCTCTAGTTTACGTTTGAGATGCAAATTTAAAAACTGATTCATTTCTGATGCTTAAAACAAAAGGTAGCAAACTATCTAGTACAAGGACTAAAAACAAAGCATATGCAGTTATATTTAAGGTACAGATTTTAGCACTACTTGTATTTATTACACCATCCCCCATTTTGTATATTCATGGGGAACAAAAAAGTTTTCCATTGTTTTCTACAAACTCTATCATGCCAATAAATGTTGAGGACACTCACCAAAATATGACTTTTAATAAAGCATATCTTTCCTAAACTGGAAGATAGGATTTCTGTGTGAGCTATCCATGAATTTGATTTAACTTACTAATAAACTCTATTTTATTTGCAAAAGAAAATGCATACACATGACATTGGGCAAGGGGTGTTTGTAGCAATTACAGTTCATAAGTCTATTTAAAATCATTTCACAATTAAACAAACAAAAATTCCTTACCAAAATTCCCAACAAATTTTCTTAAACAGGTAAACAAAAACTCAGTTTTAAACATTGTTATTTGCCTCCTGTGAGCATTAAAGACTATTTATCAGGTAAATGCTCTATTTCTAATCGCTAGTCTCAAATAAAAGCTGTCTATACCCCTTCAACTACATGTCATGTAGCTCTGTGTGCAATGTGGCCACTTATGTATAGAAGGTACAGAGTATACATTAAAGAGCCCCTGAAAGAAAGGAGCTATTTTTCTACCTTTTCACACATAATACATCCTGTCTAAAAAACTTTGCTTTTCTTTAGCAGACAAAATCAGGAAAAGAGTTAGTCCAAAAATGCTTTCATCTTCATTGTGTATACCTCTTCATGGATACTGCCTTTGCCCAGATCAGAAAAGTGTCACATGTAAAAAACATTTAATTTTACCTGAAGCAGATTTCATGGCAGAAAATAATTGTTAACAAATACATTTGGATTTTCAATGTTTTAAGCTTCTTTGGAAAAAAACAAATCACTAAGGAAGAAACATCATTAGTGCATAGAAAATGTATAGAAGAATACACACATACATAGACACACACATACAAAACTGGAAATAACATTTGCATTTGGACTGCAGAAATGGAATACAAATGTTTCTATATCTTTAGGAAATACTTGAAATTTTTATTATGCACAATATTACTTTCAAAAATGAAACATTTTAAAAAGCACAAATAAATGAAATACAAATAAAATGAATAAAGCAGAAGGTAATCTGTATGAAGATATTATAATCACATTTGTAAAGGTGAGTGAATTTTCAAATCGTCAATTGACAGGCAAGTTTTTAAGTCCCCATGTTCCATTTTAAATGATCATTTTATTCTGTTATTTTGATAACTGCTTGTGTTTAATGAGCCAAAGATACTGACCAGGTGACATCCAAATTAACATGTGGTCAGTGTGTTATCATATGAGATATCATATAGGTCTTGCTTAAACTTAAGGAAAATGATAAAATGACAAATGAGTATGATGAGAAACCTGAACTATTACATGTGTTATTGTCATTTGCAGTATGTTTGCTGTAGGTTCGGAGGAAACAATTGTACTTCCATGAGGCTTAGCTTCATTTCACTTTGTTGGGTTTTGAAAGGTTCCCAAATGTCAAGCTTTTGGGACTTACTAAGTTTTGTCTTTAAAAATGAAATACAATTAGAAAATCTTTTGGACTTAAAAATGCATCAAACAGGGCACAGTCGTTAAGCATCCGCCTTTGGCTCGGGTCGTGATCCCAGCGTCCTGGGATCAACCCTGCATCCGGCTCCCTGCTTGGTGGAGAGGGGGACTTGCTTCTCCCTCCCCACTTTACCTGCTTATGTTCCCTCTCTCGCTGTGTCTCTCTCTGTCAAATGAGTAAATAAAATTAAAAAAAAAAATCAAACATCAAACTTTTAGAGCATATTGTTTTGTCCTTAAACTTTTTAGTAAAAAATTATTTTGGATCTTAGGAGGGAATCACCAATACATTTTAAAAATAATGACATTATTATCAAACTCTAAAAACATCTTTCTTCACTCATAATATTAAAACCATGAAAATATTTCCACTATAATGAATACTGCAATTTACATAATGCTTCTAAACATTGGGAGATTGTGCCTGGTGTTAAATGTTTATTTTGTAATTGGAAAACAGTAGTGTTATCACCCTGAGAGCCCCTTTGGGCAGGACACTACACGAAGTCTCTTCAAAGTCCTGGAACAAAGAATTTCTTAAAGAAATCTACCAAAAACTGCAAACAACCCCAAGTACTGTGGCTGCACCTTTTTTAAAAGAATTTATTAAGTGAATTTACTAAATATTTAATTCCAAATATAACTAACCTATTGTCTATTGGATTGTAATTTATTTACTAAATTACTAATTTTTTTTTACTAAATTTACTAAATATTTAATTCCAAATATAACTAACCTATTGTCTATTGGATTGTATTTTAAATGCTATAACAGAGTGCCAAAATTAGAAGAAACCTCGTAGCAACACATTTTGTTAAAGTGAAAAGCACTTCCAATTCTTCTGATAGTAAATTCAGATTGTTTCTGAATTACTCAGACTTGGTAAATTTCAATTTTGACATCTCACTAGTGATAACAATGACAAATGAGGGAAAGGCAGAAATTGAGCAAGGCTCCTTTGAAGGCTCTTTCCCTCACAGTGTTTGTATTTTCCAGCCAAATGTAAAAATGGCAAACTCCATCAAATATATTTTCACTGAATTTTCACTCATGTTCTAGAAGGTGGAGCCTACTGATGGTTAAGGTAAATACCTTTCTAGAAAAATCTAGGCATTTTTTATGTTCTAGATGTGAGAAACGGAGTGGAGTGAGGAAAGCAGCATGGATTACATGCGCCAAAGTCATCACAGACCTTTCCAGATGTTTTCTCTGAGTGCAAAATGCATTCTATCAAAATTCCTGGAGATCAGGATTTCTCAGAATTTTGAAATGAGAGGTTTTTTCCACAATACTCAGATTTTTTAAAAAATTGCATGATTTTTTTTTTCAATTTCCATGTACAGTATATAAAACTGGTAGCTTACAACAAGAAATATTTCTCACAAGAAAGTAATCCTTATCCTCTTTTTGGACTTTAATTTTGCATTATTTCAAGGTGTGTTAGCAAATGAAAAGATCCAAGACCTTTAGTATGCTGAAGGGTTAAATGAACTAATTTCTTTTAAATCAGTGTTTTCTATGCCAGCAGTGTGACTATAGGTTAAAAGTGCTTGACTGCCTTTTCCTGAGAAATTCCCCCATTCAGGGCTCAGAGCAGTGAATTGATTAGTGTTTCTCTGGGGAATCAGCTGGCATTCCTGGGCCACTGCAAACTGGACAGCAGGTTCCTTTCACCAATTCAAGACTCGGACATGGAGCTGGAGGACACGTCTCCACCACACAGGTGACCTGGCCACTCTGAAAAGCAACATTCAAAGATTATTCCCATGTTTCTTACAGTAAAATTACCTTTTTAAAAATTTCTTATAATATGTAATCTGATTGGTTATCTCAGTATAATAAAAATTACCCATGATATGAGCCTATTTATACATGTAGTTCCTATTAATGCTTTTTTTATACATTTGCAGCGTGAAAAAAGACTGGAAGTAGTGGCTTATAAAATGTTACCTCCCCAACCAGAGGGCATGGGGTGTGGAGAGAGGCAGGAGCAATTGGTATCAGCTGTGTTCAAAAAACAAACTAAATAAGCTTTTTTTTTTCTTTTGCTGGGTACTATGACAGTGTTTTTTTAATATTTACTTAATGCTTTCGGGCAACGTTTGTAGTGAGCTTGACTGGAGAATAAGGAGTTGAATTCAAGCCTCATTTCTGCCTTTATTTGTGTGATCTTGGGCAATGCTCAGTAAATGTCCTGAGTGTCAGCTCTCTCAATTATTAGTGAAAATGTGAAAAGCCCATGTCGTATTTAGCAAGTGTTCATGAGATAGTGGCATATTTACATCGATAATCAAAAAGCTCCAAATCTCATATCAATACCTTGATTTTAAAAATATGCCTAGAATCTATTCACAAAAAGAACACATTTTTCTCTTTTGAATTTTTCAGGTATGTCTCAACTGGCAGGCTAGCAGAAGTAAAACAGGAGGCAGAAGTCGGAAAAACTTCTGGCGGCCCATACCTTACACATACAGCTAATGCAGTCTTCTTTCATCCAGTGCTCATTGTCTTTTCTTGGAATCCCTTTATCATCTGTGCATCCCGCCTGCCTGAGGCGTGCCTCCAGCTTGTTTATCTAAAAGAGGAGGTGAAGGGAAGGAAAGTGGGAATTGAAATCGTACCAACAAAGCAGATAACTAACACAGTTTGATGAAATGCTCTCTGTTCTGTAAGTATACACTTGGGGCAAAAGAAACTTCAAAGCCAACGTAATTTTTCTTAACATTGTTCTTTACCCCAAACTTAATTAATCCAAGTCATCTGGTGTCTAAGCTAATAAATAGTTCCCTATATGTTACAAAATATTGAATATGGGTCTAATATCTGAAACAGGTAAGTTTTAAAAGAATGGAATTAAAATCAAATGAGTAGAATTACACATTTTCAAAATCTTATAACATATATTAATATTAATTCAACAAATCAATATTTTGCTTAATTTTTGTACTTAGGTTATCATAAACAGCATTCCCTAAACAAATGTTTATTAGACTTCAAAGATAAACAATCCAGGGTGTCAAGGAGCTTAAGACTTAGTGGTATGACAGATCAATAAATCACAGTGCTAAGCCAATTAAATAGTGACAGTATATCAAAAGCAGAAGAAAAGCAGAAGATAAACTTCTCTCAGTTCTGCCTCAGGAAGAAAGGGAGGCCTCACACGGGAAAAAACATTTGAGCTGTACGCAGACATGACAAAATCATTACGAAAAACAAGCAGGGAAAAGGCATTTCAGACAAAAGGGAAAAGTTTGGCCAAAGCATAAGCACCACAGTATCTCAGGAGCATAAACTGCTGGGGAAGGTAAAAGTCACAGGGGTGGTGCTTGTGGGAATCAAAGCAGCAAAGAAAATTAGGACCTTAACAGTCCTATAAATTCATTTAGATATTATAATCTCTAGACAATGGAGAAAAAAATGCAGTCATCACATAATGGGAATATGCAGACAGATTATTGAAAGCAGAGAAACTTCAAGAAGATCCACAATGGCTCAGCTGAGAAAGGAAGAAGTGAGAGTCAAGAAAAGCCATTGAGCAGGTAGAGGTGTTTGGTTGGTTTGGGGGTAGGGAAAGAAAAAAAGAATGCAAGATGATTGCAAAGTTCCAGGTCATAAGGTGCATGAAGGATGGTGACGTTCACCAAGATATATTCTAGAGGATGCATTACAAAAAAGTAATGATCCATGGAGAAATTAAAGATACTGAATTGAGAGGAATTTTAGAAGGGATGAAAATAATGCAGTTTAACAAAAGAAGAGGCTTAATCCAAGAGCATTAAATGACTTGTGAATGTTGCAGTTGCAATGCAATGGGCTGAACTGTATCCCCTGAAAATCATATGTTGACACTCCAACCCCCAATACCTGAGAATGTGGCTGTGTTTGGAGATAAAGTCCTTAAAAAAGTAATTATTTAAAATGTGATCACTGGGGCACCTGGGTGGCTCAGTGGCTTAAAGCCTCTGCCTTCGGCTCAGGTCATGATCTCAGGGTCCTGGGATGGAGCCACACATTGGGCTCTCTGCTCAGCAGGAAACCTGCTTCCCCCTCTCTCTCTGCCTGCCTCTCTGCCTCCTTGTGATCTCTGTCAAATAAATAAATAAAATCTTAAAAAAAAACAATAAAATGTGATCACTGAGATGGGACCTAATCCAGTGGGACTGGCGTCCTTATGAGAAGTGGAGATTAGAGTCCAGACACAGTGGGAAGTCTGGGTGAAGATACAAACCAAGGAGAGAGACCTCAGAAGAAACCAACCCTGTCAACACCTTGATCTGGGAATTCCAGCCTCCAGAACTATGAGAAATTAATTTCTGTTGTAAAGCCACCTTTCCTGGTATTTGTTATGGCTGTGCTAGCAAACTGATACATGCTTCATTTGGGCTAGATCCCATATTTTCAAAAGAACTTTCTAGTGTGTATCTAAGAATCATTATGCTTTTATCTTCTAGTGAATGTTCCTTTCAGATTCTCTGAACTCTGTTATTTGGTTGGAAATGATAAAATGATTTCAAATACTTGACCATGATTATTTGTATGTCACAGAAATTATTGTGCCCAAGAATAATTTGGAGACAAACAGTAGACCAGACTGGATGACTTAAAGACCATAAAAGCAATGATTTATTTTTAAATGGTTACTGAACACATGCTGTTTGTCAGCTAGTCCTAGGGGAGACTACAATGATAAACACTCCTGGGTTTCTATTCTTAGGGAGACTACAGTGTGGTATGGGAGAATGAATTTCTGCAAAAATAAATATGATACAAGCCCAGATGTTGTGTGCTATAAGAGTATATACACAATGATACAGAATTTCAAGGGAAAATAATAATTTTTAGAAAAATGGAGTAGAAAAGGGAATAATCAGGGAAGAATTTACAATTTAAATGGGACTTGTGCTAGGCCTTGAATAAAGATGGCATTTGGTCATGGTAGTTTTGGTAGTACATTTCAGCTGGAGGGGAAGTGTGTAAAGGAAGTTAATAAGAGGGGAGGGGTAAACAGTGAGTATGTAAGTTTGGAAAAAACGAGGGGTGCTTGGGTGACTTAGTCGGTTAAGCATCTGCCTTCAGCTCAGGTCATGATTCCAGGGTCCTGGGCTGGAGCCCCATGTCAAGCTTCCTGCTTGGGGAGAGCCTGCTTCTCCCTCTCCTGCTCACCCTGCTTGTGCTCTCTCTCTCTCTCTCTCTCTCTCTCTGTGTGTTTCTGTGTCAAATAAATAAAATGTTAAAAATAAAAAAAAAAAAGAACATAGAAAACATGAAAAATGTTATTTGGAAATTAGATAAAAAGATGGGTTAGGATTACATTTTCCAGAGCCAAAAATACCAATGAACTTAGAATTCACTAAGGAAACAAAATCTTAATGTAAAAATTAATTAATTAGTTGATTAATTAATAAAATTGATTGTATAAAATATTTTACTACGTTTGTGTTGAAGTAGGACAGTAAGATGGGCCTGTGAGGGTAATTTAGTATTACAGTGCCTACACTTCAGAAGTGACATCCATTGTTCATTAATTTATTCATTACCCAATAGGATTCATAAATATCCAATATATGCCAGCTAAACATTGATGAATTAAAAGACTAAATCTTTGGCTTTATGTAAGTAGTGATAATGGATACAATGATAGGATAAATTAAAAATTATGGTGGAGGCAGGAATGATAGTGTTTTATAATGACTAGGTGTGGACTGAGTTAGTCATTACCTGAGCAGGGTCATGGGTGTGATAAATGAAAATCATAAAATTCTGTAGACATATTAGTGATTATGGTCTAGAAGACTAAGATTAAAAAACACTTTTATTTCTAAAAATACTGAGAACATGTAAAACATTACTAAAGATGAATAAGTTCCAAAAAATAAAAAAGAATAGACGCAATTCCAAGATACAGAAAAGATATTAAGGTGGTAACTTCTGTCCTCAAGGAGAAAAGTATAGAAAAACAAAATAGACAAATGATAGCAGCACATCTGTTTTAAACTTCAGGCACTTAGAGCAATAATTATGACAAAGAAATGACAAAGAAACTCTTTAAGGGAAATAGTCTGAGAACTGTCTATGTATCATAAATGTAAAAGATATAATGCATGATGAAATTTTGTTCTGGAATTAATCTGAGTCAGGAATAAGAGGCACTTTGGTGGGGAGTCAGAAAATATGCTGGACCATAATTTTCATTTCCCTGTTTCCCCATATACTTATTGCTAATATACAGAAATACAATTTATATTTGTATGTTTATCTTATGTATCTTCTATCCTGTGACCTTGATGAAATTGCTTATTAATTCTAAGAGTTGTCTGGTAGATTCTTTGCAATTTTCTGAGAGGTAACTATATCACCTGAAAATATTTTTCTTTCTTCCTTTGCAATCTGTAGCCATTTTCCTTTTCCTATCTATTGCATTAGGAAGAACTTCCAGCACTCTGTTTAATATGAATGGTAAGAATGGACATCCTTGCTTTATTGGCAATAGTAGGAGGAAAGCATTCAACCATTCACCATGTAAGCCTATTAATACAGCAGGTTACATTAATTAACTGATTTTGGAGCATTAAACTAGCCTTGAATTCTCAAGTAAACCCCACTTAATTATGTTGTACAATTTTTTTATGTATTGCTATATTATCTCTGCTAATATTTTGTTAAAAGTTGTTGCATCCATATTCATGAGGGATAATTGGTATGTGATTTTCTTCTTTTGCACTGTCTTTGTCTAGTTTGGGTATCAGATTAATACTATCTTCAAAAATGAATTGAAAGTATTCTCTCCTCTGCTATTACTGGAAAATTTCTCTAAATTTTTCTTTAAATATTTGATAGACTTCTGAACATTTGAAGCCATCTGCACATGGGGATTTGGGGAGGAGATTTTTTTAACTAATAATTCAATTTCCTTGGCAGCTTTAAAGCTATTCAAATGATCTTTTTCATATTGGGTGAATCATGATAGTTTGTGTTTTTTGTTTTTTTTTTAATATTTTATTTATTTGACAGACAGAGATGACAAATAGGCAGAGAAACAGGCAGAGAGAGAGAAAGGAGGAAGCAGGCTCCCCGCTGAGCAGAGAGCCTGATGCGGGGCTCGATCCCAGGACCCTAGGATCATGTCCCGAGCCGAAGACAGAGGCTTAACCCACTGAGCCACCCAGGCGCCCCAATAGTCTGTGTTTTTTAAGGAGTTAGTACACTTGATCTAAGTTGTCAAATTTAGGTGTGAAGAATTTTCCTTCTTTCTTTCTGCCATGAGTTGATTTAGTTGTTGTTTTTCCAGGTTCTTAAGGTAGAAACTTAGATTAATTTTTTTTAAAGATTTTTATTTATTTATTTATTTGACAGACAGAGATCACAAGTAGGCAGAGAGGCAGTGGGGGGGGGCGGTTGTGGGAAGCAGGCTCCCTGTTGAGCAAAGAGCCTGACTCTGGGCTCAATCCCAGGACCCTAAAATCATGACCTGAGCCAAAGGCAGAGGCTTAAACCACTGAGCCACCCGGGCACCACTAGATTATTGATCTGAAAGACATACCCTCTTTTCTACTATATGTATTAGGGGCTCTAAAT